CTCTATTTTTGCACATCTCTCCCAGCACAGCCAGATGCTCAGACGGGTGGCAATTAAAATGAATCTAGCACTTTTCTAGTCATCTTGATCAAGTAGTCAACTGCAGTTTCACCTTCTCATGCAGTAAGCACTGTCATGAGCTCAAACTACTGCAGCTTCTAGCTGTAATCTGAGCCAGCCATATAACAGTATCTCCATGCAGACCAATTCAGAACACCTACAGCTCATAAGAGCCTACTCAGGCTGCGATTCCTAAAGTTTACTTAGTTATGAAAATATGAAATCTTCTGGAAAAATGCAGAGACATCCAGCAGCTTCGGCTACAACTAAAAGCTTAGAGTTAAGCTGTCTAGGCTTGCTCTGAGTATGGAGTGCCAAGGCACTACTACCCAGGCTACATTCACATTCCTATTTTTGAACATGTTGTTCAGCACAGTTGGTTCAGACATTTCAGATGCTCCAGAGAGGTTGAAAGGCAGAGTTGATCTGACTATTGGACAGTCAGACAGTGATAAATCACTTCAAAGCTATCAGTGCTTGAAGGATTTATATCAACTCCAGCAAGTTCTGATCACCTTCTCTGCCGTCTTTGGCAAAAGCTGTCAGAGACAAACCTGAAAAATAAGAGATCAAGGAGAAGACAGGAATATTAGTAGGGCTTCTGGTAGCTGAAGTCAGCAACATGTTTAAAGCAATGGCTGTAGTTCCACACTGCCCAGTGTCTTCAAATGCAGCAGTTTACACTTAAGGCTTACTACAGATGCTGTAGATGCAGTTGTGTTTCAGCAGCAAGAACCTAATGCTCAATACTACATTCTAGTCAGAATGAGTTACAGCTTTGAGTATAATTTGTGAATTAGTACCCTAGCATTGTCAACTTAGGGACTAGAGTTTAAATAATTGAGTTCTCACAAACATTGTGTATCATGAGAACAAGCTGCTTCTACATCTTCTGTTGCTGCAAACAATGTAGGAGAGCAAAATACGCACTCACTGTTCCTCAAATACACATGAAGTCTACATTTGAGAAGAGCCTATTCCAAAACCACTTTGAGAACAAATTATTTCTCCTCCTCATCTATCATTTTTAGTGTGTTTCATGGACACAATAGGACCTTCCCTCCTCAGGACAAACTGCTGCCATGAGAAAAACTAAATTACTTCAGATGCAACTTGAAGGATGCACAAGCATTCTAAGAACAAGAAGTTCTAAAGGTTTAAGTATAAATCAGTATTTCAAAACATCCCTGAATTTTTATTCACTGGTAACATAACAGCTTCTTACAGAAGAAGACTGACTACAGTGCTAGGCAGCAAGTGCACCTTGAAGTTATCCTCATTCAGAAGAGCCATGCCCCCACACACAGTAAGCCCAGTTAGCACAATATTATGAATTGGGAACATGTAGTTAACACCCTATTTCATAAGCTACATTAAGGTCTCCAACAAAAACTTAAAAATCAATTGTTATAAGAACACTCTGCAGAAACTCATGCACAAGGTGAATACATGCATTCACAAGCTGTATAAAAATTGTTTCTTGAATTTCAGTCCCAGAGTGCCTATTTCAGAGGTCCAAATTTCTATAGCAACATTCCCACTAAGCACCAGGAAATGTTGGATTAGACCTACTTATGTTGCAGCATGATTTCAGTTATGATTCCAGGAAGCCTATTTGAAAGCTCCTCTCTTCCAAAGAAGTGATCTTTCAGGCCATGACCAAACAGTGTTTAAGCTTCTAAGGAAAGAATTGCAATTTTTTTCGTTATTGTCATGAACCACACTACAACCTTTATGCAAGGCAAAGAAACACACATAAAAAGGCTCTGGGACCTTGGCTCAGTAGTAAAAAAGGTCTTTAAGCTGTAAAGATCTTGATCAGTAAATTAACTAGTCCTGTCCACTTCAAGTTAAAGAGGATGCATAAAAAAATGCAGCAATACAGGGAACTCACTGGAAAACCAGTGAGTCATGTTATTGATCTGCCAATGTACCTGTAGCCCTGCCAGAAGCAGTCAGCACCACTGGCCATTAACCAGTAGTCCTTGGCACTACCAGAGGCAGCACGCTCCTGTATCCTCCTCAGAGGGAACCATGCACTTCTACCTAGCTCTATAACAGTATAAGGTACCTATGCAACATGTTAGCGAGAAGTCTACCTCATGCAGTGTAAGTCTCCTGTAGAACAGGCCCAAACCTGCATTCCACAAAGATCTGAAGTTAGTGGTGAAATAACAGCCTTAATCTGCTTGCAGCTATGTCATTTTGTGGTCAAGCTACTTCAAAATCCTGAGCTAGGTTTTCTACAAGAAATTTGAGAGTCCCAAAATATCTATTGATAGCACACTGGATTCTGTTGTCCAAATGACAGTTCCACTACAGCTTAACCCCTCTATCTGAACTGCTGTGGTCCTGCCCTTCCTCATCAGCTCAGCTCTCCACTGTGTTCTGCCACCAGCTGTGACAACACACACCAATAAGCCAGTTTAGGCATGGCTCAGATGCAACCCGATCCCAGGTTCCATTAAGGATAAAGCAGTGAAGGACACAGTCCCTTCTCTCCCCTTGAAACAGTTTTCTTAACAGCTGAGCTAGAGTATCTACCATTTTGTTCCAGGCAGAGAGGAAGTGCTTGACCAAGCAGGCAAAGCTCAGCCTTATAAAGGAGAAATCTTTGCTTATCCCTATTACCAAAAGTACAAAGCATCCCAACAAGTGATAAGGTCAAGAATGCTGCTGAAACCAGAGCTTGTTTCAACTAGGAAAAAACCTTAGTACACACAAACATTAACTTAGATAAGTAAAAGGACCTGTATTCATAACACCTTAACCTCAGTATTTTGCAAGTAAGCAGGATTTAATCTCACTGACATGCAGCAACAAGTTCGGAGCTGTTTGTGTTTATGGATTGTACACATCCAATCTATAAGGCTAGCAAAACAAAGGGTACCAATGTTTGAGGTAAAAATTAACTCATCCCTGGCATATTGAACAAGATAACTAAGCAAGTAAAATGTCACAGTGCCCACCTGTCAGAACTAGCCAATTCCACTAGCAAGGTAAGTTAGGTTCATTCCTATACTCAAAGAAACCAAACCAGATAAAGTTCCAGGTAAGAACTGGAGTAAGCCATCTTCTTGCATCAGTAGTGACAAGCTTTACAGAATCCCTATTTTGCAATCAGTTATCTGGGTCTACTACCCTGTAGTCACAGGCAGCAAACCAAATGGTAGAGGTAGAAGGGTAAACAAGACTACAGCAGAGTTAAGCTGACCTGAAGCTGCCTCAAAAAAAAGTTAGAGATTTTAATGACATGCTGTACAGATGTGCAGGATTTAGCTCACTTTCAGCCTTCAAAAAAACCAAATATGCTGGTTTGATTGATTTCATTCATTTAAAAGGTTTAGAGATAAAAATCAGGATTTGTCCTCAAAAGTCAAACCAGGCATCAACGTGATTAGATGATGCAGACCAACAGGCAGAGATAACACACTATGATTACTGCTTAAATCCACTATCAGGAAACAAAGCTGTCCACCAATGGCATCACTGTTGTCACCAGTAATGTGACAGAGCAGATTTGCTACTGGATGGTGTACAGTGGATGGCAAGCCCATGACATCAACATAATAAATGCCATTAAAAAGCTGCACTGTGACTCCAGCAAGCTCTTAGTTCTGCATCAGTGCCTGCTCTAATGCAATCAGACACTCTACCTTCCTCTGAACACTGTCAGCAATAGTCTGCTGAGTCATAGAGCCTGCAGGGACACCAGGAGCTGCAGGGCCTGCAAGTGCAAACTGCACTCAGCCTGCTGCAGAGCAGATCACTCCAATCTCAAAAAGCAGCAGTGCAGCACTGTTAGCCCACATAAAGACACCCAGCAAAACCCTTTAAGCCCCAGTGAAACAAGGCAAGCCTTATCTGAAGTACATAGTTATCTCAGTGTCTAGTTCAATGCAGCAAAACTTAAGCCTTTAAAACAGTCTTCACAATTCCTCCATACAAATAAGGCAAGTTCCCCCATTTCCAACCCTCTCACACCAGGGCTGTCACGGGTAATCTATATGGAATGCCCAGCAGTACATTTGCAAGCACCTTGTTATTGCAAGAAATCAAACACAGGCAGTATTAACTTCGTTTGGCTTCAGAAAGTTCTACTTTAGTATTTTAGGAAAGGTGAAGAACAGGACATGCAAGGAAATATTTCAATGCTAGCATGCAGAGCAGGGAATATTTTTAATCTTCAGCTTGCACAGGTTATTAGTTTCAGACCATATCTTTCACCAGTGTGGGTGTTCCATTTACCTGAGCATCTTTGTGCCCTAAAGCAATTGGTATATGCACTCTTTTCAGTGAGAACAAGCTCTAAAAATTAGAAGCGCAGAACAATGACATGCAAGCTTTAAGCTAGTGGTTATTTCGAGACCCAGCTCTCAAATTAAACTAGAAGTAATTATGACTGCACCTCACCATGTTAATACACAGATGCACAAGAATAGTATTCAATACAGATTACTTCCATCTGAGGGAAAAAAGTAAAACTCTTGCTACTAGAGCTAGCTAGACATCTGCTTTAGAAAATTAATCCTTGAGAAAAACATGGCATGATTAAGAGTTTTTTCAGCTGCCAACACTGAATGGTGCATGATTTGTGCTGAGCTCTTCACTGTTCTTACTTGGTTGTAATGATTCTCTCAAGTACAAAAGCTTAAAACATTTCCTGGATTCACATCAAGATCTGAATACTAGAAAAAAGTCTATTTGTTCAAACGTTACTAAGAAGCCACATTTAAAAGTGAAATATGCTTAATAAGTGCTCAGACTTGTTACTAAGATAGCTACAGTATCCCTTAGAATGACCTCTTCCAAACATAAGGGAATATTCATTATTGACCTTCAATGCAGTGAATCTATATAGAGCTGGCACAGCAAAAAGGCTGCTGCATGTAATTTAATAAGCATAGACTGCAACACAAACAATGAAAAAATAAACTGACCTTATGTTTAGCATGCTGAAATTTTGACCCTTCTTGCTCTTCATGCTGCACCGAGTTGGCTCTCTCCCTCACACTTCTATACCCAGGACTGGGTATAACGTACTCTTTTCCTATGTCGATGTCTTTCATCTTCTGTAAACGCCAGGGTTTACACTTGTATTTTCACCTCGAATATCTGAAAAATAATTAAATTCCACTTTATTATATGCTATACCCAACACACCAGTTCCTTTTAGTCATCTATTTTGAAATAAAAATCAGAAAGCAGTTGCAAAAGATTTTTATTACAACAGGACTGCAATAACGCAACTTTGGAAACCCACACAAGACTAACTTCTGAAGTAGTTTAAACATACCCTGAGGTAACCAAATAGTACAATGATTCTCAATGCACTAGAGTACTGTCACACTTCCTCTCTTAGAACTCTGAAATACAATTATGCAGTCTGACAAACTTAAGTAATAGCTGCAGTATTTAGTTGAAGACTTAAATTTGACTTGGAAGATCAAATCCCCGAAACCTTTTAACCTGACAACTTATCAGTACAAAGTTCTGCAAAATTGAGCTCTAGAGATATTGCACAATAAAATTAGTCATTCCACACAGTCTAGAGAAAAATATATTCCTTCTGTAAAGCATTATTCACTTACTCCATAGACTTGAGCTATCATTAAGTATGAACATGCACAGAAAGGAGACACATCTTCAGCGTTGCAGGTTTCCCCTCATCCTATCAAATTGCACTGTAAAGTCAGAAGGAGAATCAGAGTTCAAAAAAAAAAAATCACCTCCCACCACAAGACCTTGTTTTTGTAGCTGCTTTCTTGCCTTCTGTCACTCGCCTTAAACGAACGCAAAGGAAGAAGTCTGATTAAGTTAACATTAGTCAGAATCTGCATCAGCAGGTTGGGCTTGGTGCACCGGGCTGCCACCTCTCCGCCGCCTGCAGAAGCAGCCTCATTCCCCATGCGCTGACACAAGTCCCCTCCAACGCAGCCCTCCAGCAGCCAGCCCCGGCTCACCTGCCGCCCCCCACCCCCGGGGC